ATAAATAAGTACTGATTGGGGTTGGGCTGTTTTTTTGAGTGGTTTGATATTAATGCAAGACTGGACCTAATTTTACACGCTTGACTCAGCAGTCATTCCTGATTGTAACATAATGACACTGCGTCCTAACATCAAACGAGCATCCCAGTATTATCTTGCATCGCGTCACATTGGAGATCTCTGTCCCCACTGAAACATATAATATATACATAGAATATGCACTTCTGTCACATCATGTAAGCAAACTATGTAAATATTAGCTGTGAGCTCAAGATCAGACTAGTGACGTAACCACTTAAAAGATGGCTGAGTAACCTGCTTGCTATCTTCATACATTTGTAACGTTACTTTTTAAACAGAAAACAGGTTTAGTGTTGACATTATATAGCCAACAACAAGTAGGTTGTTATTATTGGAAACATTAACCTTAACAGGAACTTTCAACTCCCCAGCAAACTCACTTAAGCTACCTGACACCTTTTTCTATAGTGAAATAAGGAGGCATTGTGTAGGTAATTCCTCAATTCAAGTGAGTCACAGGTAGCCTATAAATAGAAACAAGCCCTCCGACATACGTTTAGCCCTAAACAACACACCACATTGTCTGCAGACAATTTGGTCGTCTCTTTCGTCAGCCTCAGATCCAAAATGTTATCATATTGGTGCAGTTCTGGTTTTATTAGGAGACTAACTCTGCCATGTCTCGTCTAGTCAATAAAAAAAAACACATGAACTTTCTAGTAAACAAACACAGCATGCACAGCTCTGACCCTCCACCGCTACTGAAATGCAATCTCTTTTAGGTCGCTGTGCTCGGCTCACAGCCTGTCAGACAATAGTGACTCTGTTAGTCAGTTTATAAACATAAAATTATGTTCGTCATGTCGTTATTAGGGGTGTAAATCACCAGTCTCATCATGATACAATATTATATCGATTCGTTGGAAAATGATACGATATGTGCCGATATTACAAAGTCTACCACAATACTATATCGATGCAATGCGATTTAGGGGCCTGCGGTGTGAGATGATATTAAAATGCCCATATAACACAATCAGTTACAAAAGAAGTTGCCACCCCCTTCTATTTTACTTTTGGACATAAAAGATAAAATAACACATTCATAAGTCACTGTAACATCTTAGATGCACTGAAGTTTACTTTTAACTGACTCCACTAACACAAATAAAACAGCGCATGGAATTAAGTTAACCTTCAGGGCTTTCTCCAAGAAAAAAGAAATCTTTCATTTTAACCCAAACCATCATCTGTTTTCTAAAACTTCAGGACTATCTGGCTTAAAAAACCTGAAGGCAAACTTCTCCTAGCAGCCATAAAACACGGATTAACAACCTTATTATTATTTATTTATTTATTTATTTTTTAAGATATTTTTTTGGGGGCATTTTTTGCCTTTAATGGACAGGACAGTTAAGTGTGAAAGGGGGAGAGAGAGGTGGGATGACATGCAGCAAAGGGCCACAGGCTGGACTCGAGCCCAGGCCGCTGCAGCAACAGTCTTGTACATGGGGCGCCTGCTCTACCTAAGCCACCGACGCCCCAAGGATTAACAACATTATTTAACATAAGTATCAAATTCAGCTCAGTAATAACTGTCAAGGTATACTATAGAGCCATGTCAATTGTTTTTTGCTAGTGACCCATTATTAGCTTTAGCATGTTTGCATTGCATAAATAACCTAGCGGCTAGCAAACTTTTATTCCTCTACTCAAAGGTTAACAAATTACCTATAACGTTATTATTTTTCTTACTCACCGTTGGTTTAACTCACTGCATCTCCCAAACAGAACAGCTCGGTTGAATTTCAGCCTGCATGCACGTTTTTTCACCTGGACATTGTTGAAACTGAGCAGTTAATGTTGCTGTAGTGAGAAGTTAGCGAGTGGATTGAGATGGCCGTTCAGGCAGGTAACATTACGTCATGCTTTATCTCACAGCATTGTTTATGTATGGCATATGCTTTGTCTGTTGACCCTTTTTTCACACTGCTGTCACAACCTGATCTCACAGAAATACGTGAAATGACCACGACCTCTTAACACTGCAAATATATTCCTCTGTTATAATTTCTCACCAATAATAATAATAATGATAATAACGTGATAGTTCGGCTGTGCTAGATATTTGTTATAGCCTATTCAAATATTCAGTCCCAAAAACGCTGTTTCTAGAGAACTTGCTAAAATATCTGAAATTAACCATCATGCCTACTTTTTCTTAACATATTTCATCTAGGTGCAGTGTCATTACTAGTTCAGCTTTACTAGACATTTGATATATTCGGTAGATGTATCTTTTTACGACTCTATTTTACAACAAGCCGCAAAAAACCTACCGTCCCAAAAACGCAGTTTTTAGAGTACTACCTAAAATAACTACGATTAGCCAACATCCTTGCTTTTTTTTCTTAACATAGTTCATCTAGATGCAGTGTAATAACTAGTTCGGCTTTACTAGATATTAGATATATTCAGTAGATGTATCTTTTTACGACCCTATTTAGAGCCCTACTTAGCAAATCAGAACAACTACAACTATGTTTCTGATATGTATCAAACTGCATGGCGCGTTCCCAGGGAATTGTAGTTTTTAAAAAATATAAGTGTTTTTCCTAGATTTGGAAGTTGTAAATACTGAATTGAGAGTAGACTGTGGACTTTAAGGGGATGGTAAACACATTTGTGTAATCAGATTTTAAATATCTAATTTCTAAATGGGTGAAAATGAATTTTATCCATATTTTACCCATATCTGACAGCACCCCCAGTTGTTGACTACACTCACATGATAGCTGGGGTCAAGAGCTCTCTATAACAGTTGGTCCCATGTCTGTACCCCCTTTCGTTGCTGAGTTATAAGCCCTCAAACATGCACTGAGGTCAAGGTTCAAAGGTGAATGGCTGAAAGCAGGAGCCATGTAGAATCTTCATACTGACATATGTTACTCTCCAGGTTGAGACCTTTCCAATGATGTATTTGGTTTAGCTTTACGACAGAGTTTTGATTTTTTCATTTTTTGGACACAAGCCATGCCAGGTGTAGTTTCAGAGAGCACTTTGAAGGCCCAGTGTATAAAATGAGTTTTGTTTGTTTCTTTGCTTGTTTTTTATCTTTTTTACTGTAGATAGTTACTAAAATGAGTCATCCTCAGACAATACAATACTACTAAAAAGTAAAACCAATAATAACAATAATGAAATAAGCAAAAATAATATTAAAATCATATTAAAATTTTAAAATCTATTTACAGAGTGGAATGGCAGTCTAATAGATAACTTAGATAATATTTATTATTGTTTAGACACTTTATTATTGCTTAGATACTATTTAGCCTATTATTGTATTTACTTTTAGCATGCTCTAATTTTGAGTAATTTCCGAGAAGTTATAAAAAATAAAATAAAAAATATTACAGACTATAGAATAGGACTGACAACCTCTCCAATGTCTCATGTCAATTAATTAACACTATTTGTCGGCTTTTTATAATGGCTTTTTTTTTTTTTGTTTGGCTGCTGTCTCCAGTTGAGAGTGGTGATTTGCTAAATACATTCTACAATAATAATTAGATTAACTTTTGGTTTATAATATTGTTGGCTATATTACGTATTTTAATTAAAAAAAACAAAATGGAAGAATAAAAGAAATAAACACCAAAACAATTACTGGAAACTTTTTTTTTATTGATACTCCTCTCTGACACACACACACACACACACACACACACACACACATTGAACGCGTGAATGAATGAATGAACATTGGAAGCGGTTCAGCCGCAGTCCCGCCGGCTGGCGCGGTCACATTGAGATTACATTTGTTTTTTATTACTAACAAAATATGCTTTGGTGTACTTTTACAGAGTTTTGCAATATATATATATATCCTACCTGTATCAAAATGTATAATTTTCAGCAGCGGTTTGTCCAGCTGCCACGGTCGGAGGTATAACCGCTGGTTCTGTGGCGCTGGCTTGGGGTCCACTCTCCCCTGGTGGAGTGGAGGGTGGCCGGGTTGCCAGGGGCAGACGGCTCCATGTGATGGTGTTTCCTCTCTGGTTCTTCCGTGCTCAACCTTACTTTTCTCTTTTTATTTATTTATTTATTAGTGGCGTTTGGTCTCGGTAACATCAGATGGACGGCAATCTGAAATGGAATGAAGCCCACAGACGGCAGACCAGACAGCAGCTACAAAACAGTAGTGGAATGCGCCCCATCCGCCCACAGCACAATGCTCTTAAAGCCCTACGATATCAAATGCTGGCAAAATACATTTATTTTATTTTATGGCCTTGACATTAACCTGTCATATTGTTGAGTTATCAATGACGCTTCTGCGTTTTTGTGTGTGTACAGGAATGTTAAAGATATCATTGAGGAAAACAATGTTGACGTGACGTAATTGAATCAGGGAATCCATGTGTCCACCACGGAAAGCGGTGTTAAGAGGTCGTGGTCATTACACATAGGCTATTTCTGTGAGATCAGGTTGGCTGTCAATATCAATAGATCAATGTTTTCACTTTTCAAAAAATCAGACTGGTTTAAGCTTGTAAATCGGACCCAACTGGCAAAACAGGAAATCGACCCAACTGTAATACAGATCATTTCACACCATATGATACAGTTACTCCTGTCAAACTACAGAAAAGATGTGCATGTGATACACTGGTCATGAATTGATGGGGGTGGGGGGGATTGCATGGATTTCCCCACCCACTGCTTCTGGTTCATCTCGTATTGTGCAAGTTAATAAGCAATACTAGCTGTTATAAAAATGTTATGGATCTGAGTTGCAAGTCGATCAGAAAATCTGATGACGTTAAGTCATAAGGAGACTTACATTCTCTCGCTGAGTTTGGGCTGTTTTTGTTTGGTAATGGTCTCTAATAGCTTGCAGGCACAAGCAGGTATCTGTTCCAACTGTAGTCTCTAAATGGAGTCAATGCTGGACTGGCCATCGGCCCACCGGGCAAATGGTAATTTTGGGCCGGGCCTTTTTTTTTTTTTTTTTTTTTTTTAGTCATGTCATGATACCTATTGGTACACAAAACTGGTAGATCGGCCCATTAGTCATGATTGATTCTGGGCTGGACCAATTACAGCCGAGGGCCGATGCCCCCTCCCACTTGGGCCTCGGCTGCCAGTCAATCAATCATACAGAGAGAGAGGAGATTGACAAAATTGAGAAGAAACTCAAAGGAGGTGCAGAAAAAATAAGAGAGAAAAAGAGACAAGCCCTTTAGGAAGATGCTGCCAAATGTGTTAAAATAACACAGATGTTTGCTGGCTATGGCGGAGCTTCTTCAGTGGCAGCATCAGTGACCGCACCCGCACTGGCATCCAAAGCAGCCGCAGCAGGTAATGAGGTGAAGGGGAGGCAGGAGGAGGAGACCCGCGGCCGCCGCATTATATGACGACGGCACAGGCGGTGCGACTGGAGGGGAATTTGAACTTCAGGTAAGAAGTGATGAACAGCAGTCTACCTGGGTCAGATATGAATCAAGTTTGGTTGATAGTTTATTTTCGTTGTGCTTGCTAACTCTTAACACAGCATAGTTATGAGTAGGCCATTTAACAATTTAGCTGGCTGTTGAGCAGCATGACGGGGTTTCTCTACTGCTGGGCTGTTTCTATGATGTTATACTAGTGATGGTGATCTTAGTGCTTCAGTAACTTTATTTTATTCATTTAGTTAGTTAAGTATAGTCTTTATTAGTTAGGTAGTAAAATATTTCAATGTCTATTAATTGATATAAGTGCACTATGCAGTAATTCTTTACTCTGAAACAGCTAAAGCTCAACAGAGCAAAAATGTTCATGTAAAACCAAATGATTAGGCTAGTATTCATCATAAACCCACTTGCAAATATAATTTAGATTGAATCAAATTAGGATTTGCCAGGAGATGTGATGCTGCTCATTAACATAAAAGTGGCTTGGAGTTAAAAGTAACTACTTAAATGTATTTGTCTTTTATACATAAATATCCTCTTTATTCTAGATAAGTTGTGTTTTTATCTTATTGTTTTTTTACTGACATGTAACAGCAAACTCTTGTGGACAATAATTACCTGTATTTTGTTTTTATTGTGGGCATGTTTCCGTTCAATTTAAAATATCCCTTCACTTTTGAAAGGTTGCCATGTTTGAGGAAGTATTATGTGTTGCTGTGCTGTTTATTGATGTGGTGAGTACATAGTCTATGAAAATATTACTAAATCTGTCATTTATTCATTTTAGTATTCATCAATGATCATGTCTCACCTCTGTTCCTCACTGTCCAATTTTCAGGATCCCATCATACGTTCATTGTTCAGGAGGTTCACTAGACCAAGCAGCCTTTTGGGTTCCTCTAAGTAAGTACTGTATAGAATAATGGGACTGGGAGTATGGGTTAGGTTTAAATTTATTAGACAAGTACATATACACCAACAAGACAGTGCACAAGCAGTGTCACAAGAAAGTTTGTTTTCATTCATAGGCTTCATTGTCTTTCCATCAATACCTGGTGGGCCGGACTAGGCTCAAAATGCCTGGGCCGATTTTTTGTCCCAGTCCAGCCCTGAATGGAGTGATACACATGGCACACCCACTGGTTACATTTTTGTGCAAGCAGCGTCAGGCAGTACATTTCAATTAATTATACACAGTTTCCTCTTCACATTAATAGGCACTTTGGAGACAGATACATTGAAAACAGTTCACATAGTGCCACAAGAAATTGCGAATTACCTAAAACTTCTCACTCGGTTTTTTAGTCCCTAACTTGCCTCCTTCTTTCTTATCACCTTTTTTTAATAACTTGCTAACTGGAAACACTTAATGACTCTCATTTAATGAGTTAGTTAGAATGGTCTTACAAATAAAGGTCTTCCATTTTGTTTGCATATTTTTCATTATTACGGGTGCTTTGACACCTCTATTTCGGGTCATTAAGTCCGGAGTCAGATTCCGGTGACTGACAGAAGTTTAATTCAGCACTTTAATGCTTCTAATGTGTATATCTATGTTCTTTGGTGTAACAGTGAGCACACAAATAAATGTCAGATGCAAAGCATTATTAGAATTAGACTTCGCATTGGTTGCATGTTATGATAAATGACTAACAGGTAGAGGAAGGATGAAAAGAGGCGTCTTGTACTGTAATGATTCAGGGCTTATTACTGTGGGCTTGCTGTAACACTTTGTAATGTTAATGAACTGTCAAGTACGCAGCCAGACACAGCAAATACCTGCGCTGACATGCATATGTGATATTATGGTAATCAAATGATTTGCGTAAGTACTGATCAATTATAAGATTGTGTCCTGAACAGATTTTATTGCCAGCAGATGGATTTATTAGGCTGGTAGGTCAGCTTTTGTAATCAAGCCACATATCTGCTATCATAAAATCCTGTATTTGGTAATCATGTGTTTGCTCTCACACCACAAACGAACCGCACCAAATTCTCCTTGACAGCAGACAGAGACCTGCCTCCTCAAAATAAAATCTTGAACATTTTTTCTTAACTGATAGAAAGTACATAGTAATATTTTCAGCAGCCTGGCAATATCTTTATAGCTTCTTGACATTGCCTTGGCATTACAGCATTTTTTTTAACAAAAGCCAAAAGTGGGCTCTTCTGAAATTGGATGTTCTTTTCACTCTGCTGGGCTTTGAAGCATATGATTTTCACTTCAAAAAGTGGAAAAAATCTTTCCCTGCAGCAGATACCCAGAGTTCCCAGTCAAAGTAAGTGATGTGCTCATACAGCAGGGCTCTCGAGAAAGTCCAGACTGCTTTGAGCTTTAAGTATATAAGTCAGTATTTGTTATATACAGACCCTTTCGAACCCAAGAACAGCCTATGCTTCACAATAAAAGGAAAACATAGATGCTAAAAGAACTATTGAAAGATAAAAGAACTGTGCTGGAAATAATCATGGATGTCGGAACTAGGGGTGCGGGGGGTGCGGCCGCACCCCCTCCCATCCGCACCCCAGCCTCCCTACCCACTGCATTACGCTTTAAAAAAATAAAGAATCTGAATTTAAACTCAATTTGTCTGACTTACATTTATCTCTTTCATATCATTAATGCATAGATCTATGCTTTTGATGTGATATGCAACCTGCCTGACTACATACAGTAGCCTTGGCATCCA